GTGTGTGTGTGTGTGTGTGTGTGTGTGTGTGTGTGTGTGTGTGTGTGTGTGTGTATCAATTTATGTATTGGTTCTCTTTCTCTGAAGAACCCTAATACAGGTGTCTTTGGAAGTGTGACTGAATTGAAATTAACCCACAATGCTGTGGTGGCTGATAGGATGATTTCAGAGGGAAGAAGAGATTAGCTATGTTGGCTATTCTGTTTTTTCTTCTAGATCTATGCTCCACCATCACATCCCCTTTGCTAAACCCTAAATAGCTGACTCCTTTGTACAACATTATTGGACATTCTTTGCCATGGGCATTTTTATTCTATAATTTGTCATATAAACAAATTTAACTTTTATATTGTAAATTGTGTCAATCTTTCAAATGGCTTTTCTTCTCTTATTTCAAAAGGTATTTCCCACTCAAAGATAATAATAAATAAACCCACCAATGTAATTTTCTTCTAAAATGTTAATGTTTTCATTCTTTATATGCAAATATATGATCCACCAAGGAGTACTAGAAGGACTAGTCTTTTCCCACTATGAGAGGCATTATTGTCTGTGGATATATATTTGAACTAGGCAACAAGGATGCTTGGGTCAAGTCTCAACTCTGCCATTTATCACCTGTGTGATGTTGGATCAGAAATTAACATCTTCATAGCTCACTTCCTCACCTGTAGAATAAGGGTGATAATAATAGTACCTAGTTCAAAGAACTGTAAAGATAAAACTAGCATTAGTAAAGTGCTTGGAATGAGGTAATCATATTTTTTTATTATACTTTCCTTTAAATATTGCTGACAATATGTTTACAGTTATATTTTCAGATGAATTTCACTAGTTAATTTCAAGTACCAGGAAACACAAATATTAGTATTTTAAGTTGACATTGAATGTGTAAATAAATTTAAGAGATGTAATTTTTTTTTTACAATATTGATGCTTGTAATCCAAAAGTATGTTTTCCTATTTTTAATTTTTTTCTTTTTTTCAAGTTGTCTTCATTTTGGTTGTGCATATTTCTAATTATTTTGTATCTGTTTTTTTTTTAGTCTTTCACAGCTCCTATAAAAGAAACCTATTATTTTATTTTTATTTTATGTCTACCCTAACATATAATAAAGAAGGTAATTTTTTCATTAAATACTTTTAAAACTCTTCACACATTCTCTTTAGTTAAAAAAGTATATAACACATCCATTTTATGGTATTTATATGTGGCAATACCAATAAGAATTTCAAGGTAAGATTTACTAGTGAAAATTAGAAAGAGCTCACTCAAAAACAATCATTCCCCAACCCCCACCTTCACCTTGCATACTTGATCAATAAATAAACAAACCCCTGCCTTCCGAGAGAAAATCTACATCCAAGTTAACAGACACTTAACCTGCGTAATTCTGAAGACTCATTTCCTTCCTCATTTATAGGTAGCTTAGTTGAAAACTGACTCCACTGATTGAGCCAGTCTGCAAGAAGACAACAAGGCCAATCTTAAGCTTTCCTGCAAAGCTGTTTCCAGGGCCTCTGGTATACCAACCTTGGCCCTCAGTACGCACAATCCCTAGTGTGTGTGGTTCCTGGGCCCCAGGTTCCTTAATCTTTTTTTGTGACTAGAGAAAGTAGGTACCGTATTCCCTAGCTCCTCTTAGGCTAACCTATACCAATGCAACGGGGTGGCAAGGTGGAACTTGCACTTCCTCTTTCTCTGGGAGTGCTCTCTCTGTATGTGCAGCCTCCTGGCTAAGGCAAACCCCTCTATCAGAACTTTTGTAATGACCTGTGCAGAACATCTATTGCAGACCATTTCTATAGAGTCAGTAGTGAGTGAGGATTGTCTAGTTTTTCTTTCTCTGCTTGAAAGTTCTCCAATACATTCTAGGTTACCTCTGCATCATGTTGCACTCATGATTTGTAACCCCTTGCAGAACCCTAATAATATCCAAACAGAATTTAAATAAATACTCTGCAGTTGGCAGAAAATGAGGAAAGGAAGAGATAAGAGGAAGAAAGATGTTCCTTCTTGTAACAGCTCTCTATTTTGTCTGAAGCTACAGTAGGACAACAGCTCATTTGCAGACATGTGGGTGATTTGTACAGTGGGTATGAAAGCAGAAGTTAAACTTGTAAATTTAAGCTTCAGTTTATAAACAGAAGTTCAAATTACAACTCCTGTTTAACATTCAGCTCTGTTAATTTACCCTCATCTTCTTTTTTTTTCTTCTTTTTTTAGTTTGTCAAGCTTTCTTTTCATAGCCATCAATGTCTGAAGAAGTTACTTA